GCACATTCCTCTCTTCAAATGTCACCAAGTGGTACAACTTGTTAGGCCCGCTTATTTGGTGCGTTTATGGCTTCCGGGAGGAAAAGGAATCCAAGTCTGGGAACAGTGAGTCCTAAGGTGGGGTGGGAGAAGGGCAGTTCGAAACCAGTGTGATAGGGTGAAGCCTTTTCTACGCGGATCTCGCAATCTGAGGCGACAATCAACTAGTTTTCAACAGCTCCACTTAAGTGCTAAGCAATGTTTGCGAGGAGAATCGGATTGTCCTCAATCCGCGCGTATCCTGCAGCATCCGACCAATCAGCTTGTGCGATGCAGTATGACGTCGGTTGCGTCGCTGATGATCAACGTGTCTATTCAGGGTGTATAGTTAACAATGAATGCAAAAATTTCTCTATAGCATTTGACTGGAACGGTCGGCTACTTGTGAACGACAACGGCGAGTTATCGTCCAATTCGAACGTGATGATTGTGCCAGGTCGAGGCGTGGGCAAAAAAGACGATGTGGTGATTGTGGTGATGCCGCACTTCTTACAACCTCCTGTGGCTACTACTGTTGCACCACCGCTTCCCTTCCCCCCCGCCATCCCCGTCGATGGAATTCACGGAGGCGCTATTGTTGGTGGAGCGGGAGAAGGCAGTCTCTTTGTTCCCTGTAAGTTAAACAATTCTAGCATTTGTGATCTTGCTTCCTCCAACAGCACTATTTCCACTAAACTCCCCCAAAAAGGTGGAGGTTCATGACAGTCACGTAATTTCCCCGTTAATAAGTGATCAAGTCCTCGTTACTGGTACTTCTGAACACAACCTCAAGTGTTCATTTTGTACAACTTGAGATTCATTCATCCGCAATTGCCATTGTCCTATCGAATCACTACTGCATTGCTCACTTCCCTTGCCATCGCGCCAAGAGGAGGTCCATTTCACCCCCCCTTGAACCATAAGACAGACATTCCAAATGGGGTAGTTTGAGTCTTGTCACTATTGATGCGCCACTTCAAGGCGTTGGCATTTGAGGTAACGAATTTCAAAGTGACTACTTGGGCCTTTTGCTTCACTCGTAGAACTAAAGTAATCCAT